CTGTAAATGGAGCAGAAATATCACACTGGTGTTTCCTCTGTATGAGTGCAAAGATACAGGCATTTCTCCAGATGCTGAAACAGCATGAGAAAGACACAAGACAGAGGTAAGAAGCAGTCCTAAGGGGGCATGATATGACAGAGTTCAGCCTCAAGAAGAGTTGTGTAACAAAGAGAGACATTATCTCGTGAAGAACTGATAAAAAGTCCGTTCTTCTGAAGTTACAACCAAATGGAACAAAGCATGAGCTGACTGTACTCCGTCTATTGGAACAAAAAGGCAGAACAGTTGTCGTGGGAGGGAAGAGATTGCCTAACAACAGCCAAGGCACAAGCATCAATACCTTGCTTCTTTCTGGAAAGGAGTTGGTTCTGTGGTGTCCCATAAAGCCAGCGTTTGGAGGTGGCTCCAGGATGAATCTATGAATGCCATTAATCCCTGGGTGATGTAGATACTATCCATCAGTCCAGTCTCTTGGCTGGACTTGCCCCTCAAACTTCATTCTCAGCCAAACCCAGCTATTCACATTTCCCCTGTGGTTTACCAGGTGCTTTTACCATTGGTCTTTTCCCATGCATGTTCCTCTGCCTGGGACCCCCACATCCTTTATCCCTGCTTAATTCCTACTACTCCTGACTTCGAATCTACCGTCTTCAGGAACTAATTCTGGATTACCATGCCTGGATTAGTGCTTCTCCTTTCTTTTTCTGTAGCACTCTGCTTTTTCTTTGCTTATCTATCTCTTGCCATACTAGTTATCATGGACCCCTCTCCAGTCTGAGGGTCCCTTGAGGATAAGAACTTTGTTCTTACCACATTATAAATTATATGTAAAATTTATACATAATAAAATTCTGCCTTTTGAAATGTGCACATTGCTAAGTTTTGCCAAAGGCACACAGAAATGTAACCATCACCACAATCAAGATACAGAACATTTCCATCATCCGAAAGTTTTCTTATGTCCCTTTACAAGCAAACCCTACCCCATCCCCCAGATCCTGGCAACCACTGATCCATAATCTGTCCTTATACTTTGGCATTTTCTAGAATGTCATATGAATGGCATCAAATAGCATGTAGTCTTTTGTATCTGACTTCTTTCACTTCATTTCACCAGAGAAATGCTTTGGATATTCAACCATTTTGTTGTATGGATCAGTAGTTGATTTCTTTTTACTGCTGAGTAGATGTCCATTATATAGATACACTGCAATTTGTTTATCCATTCACTAGTTGATGGCCATTTTATTTTCCAGTTTGGTACTATTCTGAATAAAGATTCTATGAACATTTACATACAAGTCTTTTTGGGTAATTTATGTTTTCATTTGTCTTGGGCAGATCCCAGGAATGGAACTGCTGAGTCATTTTATAAGAAATTGCTAACTATTTTCCAAAGTGACTGTATTATTTTACATTCATACCAGCAGTGTATGAAAGTTTCAATTGCTTTACATCTTCATTAGAACTTGGTATTGTCAGTCTTATTTTAACCATTCTAGTGGTGGTGTGGTGACATCCAATTGTGGCTTTAACTTACATATCCTTGATAGCTACTAACGTTGAACATCATTTCATGTTCTTATTTCCTCTGATGACAGGTCTGTTCAAATTTTTGCTGCCCCCCCCTTTTTTTTCAGATTATTTTTCTCATTATTGTGTTGCAGGAGTTCTTTATATGTTTCTGGATATAAGTCCTTTGTGAGATATGTCTCACAAATATTATCTCCCAGTCTGTGGCTTTTAAAAAAATGTTTTCTGAATAGTGTTTTTCAAAGAATAGAAATTCATAATTTTAGAAATTTTGATGTATCAGTTTTATCTTTTATTCAGTGCTCTTTTTGTCCCTTCTGATAAACCTTTGCCTAACCCAAGGACACCGAGCTTTTCTTTTATGCTTTCTTTTAAAGGTTTCACAATTTTTAAGTCCTACATTTAGGACCATGATCTATTTAGAGATAATTTTTGTGTATAATGTGCAATATAATTGGAATTCTTCTTTTAAAATATGGATATCCAGTTTTTCTCAGCATAAGTGAAAGACTATCCTTCCCCTCCATTGGATTTTCTTGGAAAGTTTGTCAGAAATTAATTGACCATGTGTTTGTGTGTCTTTTTCTGCACTCTTTATTTTTCTGTTGATCTGTATCTGTCTTATGTTAATACCTTACTACTTTATTAGTAGCTTTATAATAAGTAGTAGTAGGTTTATAATAAGTTTAAAATCAAGTGGTGTGAGTCTTCTAACTTTGCCCTTTTTGTTTCAGAATTGTTTTGGCTACATCAGATTTTTTCATTTTCATATGAATTTTGGAATTAGCTTATCCATTTATAAAATCCTACTATTATTTTAATTTGGTTTGCATTGATCAATTAGGGAAAAATTTACATTTAACTATCTTGGCTCTACCAAATCATAAACACTGTCTATCTCTCCATTAAGACTGCTCTAGGTCCTCTTTAAATTCTTTCAGCAATCTTATTAGAGTCTTTGGTGTACAGATGCTACATGTATTTTGTGAAAGTTATTCCTAGGTATTTCATGGTTGTTGATATTATCATATTAGCCTTTTTTATTTAAATTTCCAATAGTTTACTGCTAGTCCATAAAAATATGATTGATTTTTGTATATTGACTTTATGTACTGTGGTCTTCATAAACTCACTTATTAGTTCAAGTAGCATTTTAGTAGATCCCATAGAATTTGCTTCACTGGGGATCATGTTCTCTGCAAATAAAGGCAATTTTATTTTTAATTTACAATCTTTTTTTTTTCTTGCTTTACGGAATGGGTTAGAACCTCCAGTACAATATGAATAGTACAGTACAAGGTAAGAGTGGATATCTTTGTGTATTCTTCCTGCTCTTAGGGGAGTGCATTTACTCTCTAACCATTAAGCATGATATTAGCTATAGGTTTCTACAAAAGTTCTTTATCAGATTGAGGAATTTCCCTTCTAGTCCTTCATTTGCTGATTGTTTTGATTATGAATGGATGCTGAATTTTGTCAAATGTTTCTTTCAGGAGCTCCCCTACCCGTTTTACCCTCAATCCTTAAGCTGTTTTTGCATACTTAAGGTGCCCCATAAATACTTGTTGAATGAATGGAGCTGGGCTAAATACCTCTGAGGGTGCAAGGCCACACTTCAGACACTCAGAAGCATGAAATGGGCTTAGGGGAACATAAGAATATTTGAATGCCTGTTCATGTTAGAGGTACTAGATTTGCCTAAATGATCGCATGCAATTTTTACAACATTCCTATGAAGTTAAGTATCTCCATTTTACAAACGAGGAATGAGTAATAGATGGAATGATTAAAAAGCTGGAATATGGTTGGGATGTGGGGAAGAGGTCCTGTGTTTCATAACTCAGTAGAAAGAAAAAAAACAATCATTATGTTCAGAATACAAAGAATATACAAAGGAGGATGGCTTCAAATATTTCAGTTATTTGATGGTGTGTCTGGATATAAGAATGTCCCCTGTGGAATGACAGTGGAACCATTAAGAAGGAAAAGCAATCCTTGCATAATACTTAGCTCAGCCATGAACAAAGGTCTCGTAGTCAAAATAATGTAAACTTAAGTTATTGGTTTGCAACCCTGATGATTTGATCTATAGACAAAACAAAGAAGATTTAATTTTGCTTACACATCGAAATGCAAATGTTTGTCAACTTTGACAAAGAAAAAGTCAAGAAAGATCTGAAATAAGTTAGAAGATGGGAGAAAAGTTAGGAATTTGTAAGGAATGTTAACACTCTTATTTTACAAAAAGGGAACATTTAAACCCCTCTGAGCTTCAGTTCCTCACCTGCAAAATGAGATACAAAATCTTATCTAATGGGGTTATAGTGAGGATTAATGAATGTATGTAAAATGCCTAATATGGGATAGGTACTCAACTAAAAGGAGAAAAGGGTGGCAGACCTATGATAGAAGGACGTAAACCCATCCCCACTCATGAGGGAGAACCTCAACTCTAAGGTCTGTGTCACCTCTCCTGCTGACACTGTCACTGCCAGACAGCAGGGTGGTGAGTCAGTAATGAAAGGTCAAGGGCCGTGTGGCCAGCCCAGGGCATCTGAATGACATGACAACTCTGCCAGTGGTATCATTTTCCCCATGTTGCAGTTGAGGGAGTTGACACATAGAACCAGCCCTGAAGTGGCTAAGCCAGGCCTGAAACCCAGCAACTGTGACTAGATTTGGTTGCCTGCCATCGAGTCAAGCGCTATGGCGAATCTGAAGCACTGGATGAGCTCGTGGCATATCCTCTATACACATTTCTAATGAATAGGCCCCTAGGTTTAATTAAAGGGGAAAAAAGATTAATTGTTTCTCCCAACAGCTGCAAATTATTTACATTGCATTTGTGTTGATGGCTAATAAAAGAGCAAAGGCATGTGGGGACAGCCCAGGGTGGCTGTAATTCTTCCAGGGTCCATAATGAAGCACCAGTTTGAATGCCAGAATGTGAGCCTGGAGGAGCCTGCTGTCCCATTCAGACTTGCAGTGGGCAGAACCGCTCTCTGCCCTGGGCATGATCCAATCCAATCCACAGAAATGGATCTCAGGAACCAAGACCTGAGCAGAACAAGGCGTATAGTCCCGCTGCTCTAAACTGACTCTTGATTAGCTCATGACTGCTGTGGAGTGGCTGAGAAGGAGCAAAATGGTGGCTAGCTTGAGGTACCACCAGTCCTAGAGCAACTTTTAACTGACCTTTTGAAGCATGATCGTGGGGGAAGGGGACGGTGCTGCCCTAACTGTCTTTGTGCTCACATGAATTGTTGAACTTCTCTCTGAATCTCACTTCTCTGATTACTGAGGTGTAAAATGGGACGAACTAATACTCTATGTCTCTCATGCGGCTGTTGGATGAGAGCCTATGACTGGACAAATGTGCAATATTAATAATATTATTATGGATTAGCTATTCAAGTGATGATCTTGAAAGTCAATCCTTGTTTTGTTTTTCCATTGTGTTCTAGTCAACAAGCACAAACCATGGATCGAGACTTCATATCACGGAGTCATAACTGAGAACAATGACACAGTCATTTTGGACCCACCACTTGTAGCCCTGGATAAAGATGCACCAGTTCCTTTTGCAGGTGAGATGATGGCGTACTACGGTTGGGCTTGGCTCCCTTTGGAGCTGTGCTGGGAAGCCTCCACAGAGCGCAGGCTCGGGCTGTATATCGCTGTTGTCATCCCCTGTGCATCTCATAGATCAGCCTGTGATTTCAAAGCTGTGTGTGTCTTCTGACCGCTGGTGTGGTTCTGATATCTGGTGTGGTTCTGATTTCTGATTTATGTTTTTTTTTCCCTTGGTATTGCCTCCAGTGCAAGACCTTTATTTCTTTTTCTGAGAGATGGTATATTGCTGAAACGGCCTCTGGAGTTGGAAAAGCTGGGCTAGTAAGGTCCATAGGGAAATAATTTTCCCTCTAGAAAGATGACCTGTAGACAGATTAAGTATGTGACCCACTGTCCCAACTACACATATATCATGGACAGGTGAAGACTTATAATTTGGTAGATTGGCAAGAGAAAAGGGGGGGAGGGGAAGGACCAGGAAATATTTGCTAAGGATAGGACAGGGCTGTGCCCTTGAGCTTCACAGTGGGTGTGGCCTTTGGTGGAGGAATCAGAACACAGTGCCATTTTGCCCTCTGCAGCTTGTGGCTAGAGAGTCTTCTCATTATTATCAAGATTATGACTACTTCCCTCTCAAACTTCCTGCAAGGGCCAGGTCTCAGGAAGGGTGTGTGAAGAATATGGCTGTCTCATGTTTCCAAAGATTTTGGCAAAGAGAATGGGATGGCTGATGGTAGGGGGAGGAGGGAATGGACAAAGAATTTCTGAAGATGCCTGCATCATGAGTAATATTGTTAACATTTTATAACTGTCAGGAGAAAGACAGGAAATTTAATGAAGGTTTTCAAGATTTCTAAAAGATTGCTTTATGATAGATGGGTGCCAGGCTGAGGTTTTCACCATGATGAAGTCTATTTTTTCTGACAGTTTGTCTGCTACATTATGAGCTACTTGGGCAGAAAAAATTGTCTCTTTCACACATCTAAGAGATAAGCTCTATGAAGGTCCTTTTTTCATTATAGAACATTGTAAAGTAAGGAATGAGGGGGTGGGTTAAATGGGGAAATTCAGCGTTATGTGAAGATAAACCCATAAGCATTCTTGCAGAGCATGGGGAAGATATCTTGACTCTCAGAAGAAGGCTTTATCTTTATTCTATGTAGAATGATAACCACCAAGGGCACCTAACTGTGACTTCCATGGTGTTTAGAATTAGGATATTTCCATACATCTTCCAGCCATCCTCAGAGGTCCCAGCTCAACCAAATTCCACTTGGAAGTATGAATTCCCTGCTGTCTTTTCCACAAAAGATGAGTTGTCTTCCCCAGACCTTCTTTGCCAACCTGGGAATATTCCAGTGCATCCCCTTCTTGGACATAACTAGATGATACTAGGGTTAATCAGCAATTCTTAACCCCTAGAAATGAGATTTTAAAACAAACACTAGCAAAACTGTTTGGGTCATGGAAATGTTTGGTTTGGAATGCACTGTGTGCTTAACAAAATAGAGACAGTATTTAAAAAGTGGGAGATTTAGGACAAAAACACAGGATTCTGGTTTATCTTGATGAACCAGATTGGAAATACAGGGCTAAATCATGGCTTCCCTCTTGAGACTGAGCATGGGCTCCTGGCTTCCCTGAGCCCCTTCTCTACAGCCTGTGTGCAGAGGTCTTCCCACCAAGCAGGTCTTCTTGTTCACCTTTCTTTTCAAGTGTGTGACTCCTCTTTAAAACATAACAGAAAAAAACCAATGACATATTAAACAGGAAGTAAATGTGTGCCATTAAGTCACTTTAGTATAGTGAAGCTAACACTTTAAAGATGAAGGATGTATCTGATTCTTCATTATGTCTACCCTCAGCATAGCCCTGTTCTCCTCCAATAGTGAACTAGGAAACTGAAGTTGTTGAATAAGCTGTCCTACAGTAAAGTTATAAGCGCCTTAATGTACAGACCGAAATTGGGAGGGGCAGTTTAAGCAAATCTGATATTTAGAAGTTTGGACTTACAAAAGGTTACTTATTTTCCTTGGTTGTGGGGCTGCAGAACAATTAATAATTTCACCTGAAGGTTCAACAAAGGGTTTCTAAATCAGAAATCCATCAAATGCCTTTAAACTTGAATTTGTATTCTGACTATTTGATGTGCCCACTGGTTTTCAGACACATCTGGAAATGAAGATTTGCTTCTAAGCCAAGGCCTGAGTAGTTACTTCCATCTGAAGAAAATTTCTATGCTCCTCTTGATATTTGCAGCTGCATAAAAAAAATCTAGCTTAATGCATCAAAATATAATCTTCCAAGCTCTTGAGAGTAAAAAATAAAGGTGCTTTTTGGAATGGTCAAAGCTATTTTTCTCAGTGTTATTTATGATCAGCTCTAAGACAGGACACAGGCACTAGCCATCCATCCATGCTGCAGACGTTTATTTTAAAACATTTATCTTAAAAAGAAAATACTGAAGATTTATTTCAGATCCCTATCATTCTCATAAAATTGAAAAATTCATATCTGCCAGCTCCATCAGTTCTGGAAGTCAACTGCAGCTTTTAGTCCCCCCCTTATCAACTGTTCTTGTATTGTGTGTCAGTTTTTCTACCCCTTTCCCACTGGTCTTTATTTCCAATTTAGTCTGTGAGGTGAGCTGTAAGCTTGCTGGGAGATGGTTCCATCCATATCATTTTTTCTCTGTCTCATTTCTTTTGTGAATTCCCCCCCTTTAAAAAAAATTTTAAGAAAAGTTTCCTATGTAAAATAGCACTCATTTAAATAAAAGTCATGATCACACTTTGCAGTATAAATGCAAAATTCAGGGATATAGAATAGCTTTTACTGTATATTTCTTGATTGTGACAATAAGTGTGTATTGTAGAAAATGTGAAAAATATAGTGAAACACAAAAAAGTATGAAAAATATGTTTTCTTACCCCCCAGAGAGAGCCTCTGTTAACACTTTAGAGTATTTCCTTCTAGTCATTTTTCTACTCTTTTTTTTTTTTTCAAAAATTGTGATCACACCTCATATTCAATTCTAACAATTTATTTTTCCCACTAAACTAATGAAAATATGTCATTTATTAAATATTATTCTGCAGCTGATTAAATGACTACATATCATCTTTCTCAGTGAATATTCTGTAGCTTACCATTCTCTTTTTTTCTAGCTTTATTGAGATACACTTGACATATAACATTGTGTAAGTTTAAGGTGTACCATGTATTGATTTGATAAACTTCTATATTGCAAAATGATTACCACCATAGTCTTAGCTAACACCTCTATCATCTCAAATAATCGCTATTTCTTTTTTGTGGTAAGAACTTTTAAGATCTACTCTCTTAGCAATTTTCATGTATATAATACAATGTTATTAATATAATCACCACACCATAATTAGCCAAAACTTATTCATATTATCACTGAAAGTTTCTACCCTTTGAAAACACCTCCCAATTTCCCCCACCCCTAGTCCCTGGTAACCACCAGTCTACTCCCTGTTTCTGTGAGTTGGGCTTTATAAAGCCAATTTCACATAGAAGTGAATCCACATGTAAGTGATATTATATATGTGATATAAGTGATTCCACATATAGATGCCATATATAAGTGAGATCATGCAGTATTTGTTTTCCTGTGTCTGGTTAATTTCACTGACCATAATGCCCTCAAGGTCCACCATGTTGTCACAAATGGCAAGATTTTCTTTCTCATGGCTGAATAACATTCCATTGTATATATATACCACATCTTCTTTATCCATTTTTCCATTGACAGAAACTTAGGTTGTTTCCACATCTTGGCAATTGTGAATTATGCTGCAATGAACATAGGGATGCAGATATCTCTTCAAAATCCTGAATTTATTTCCTTTGGATATATATCCAGAAGTAGGATTGCTGGATCATATGGTATCTCTATTTGTAATATTTTTGAGGAATCTCTATACTGTTTTCCATAGTGGCTGTACCAGTTTGCATTCCCACCATCAGTACACAAGCGTTCCCTTTCTCTGCATCTTTGCCAACACCTATTTCTTCTTGATGATAGCCATTCTGACAGATGTGAGGTGATAGGCAATTTGTCTGTTACAATTCTTTTTTAATATAATGTGTCTACATTTCTGATTCTATCATTTGGATGGGTTTCCAGAATTGAAATTAATTGATCAAACATTTTAAGATTCCAGAAACAGGGCACATGGGTGGCTCAGTTAATTAGGTTAAATGTCTGACTCTTCATCTCAGTTCAGGTCTTAATCTCAGGGTTGTGAATTCAAGCCCTGCTTTGGGCTCCACGCTGGATGTGGAGACTACTTAAAAAAGTAAATTAATTAAAAAAAGAAAGTTCTAAAAACATGTTAAATTGCTTAGTTGTATGAGTTTGCAGTCCCATTCGCACCGCACTAGTCTCATTCCTTAACCCCTGAATGGCTTGTTCTACTGGTGTGATTTAGTGACCATGTGGTAGAATCACCAATAACAGTAGCCTCGTCATCTTCATCTGTAAAATAATACAAGCTTTCCAGTGTTGTTATTTTGATTAAATTTAAAGAGTAACTATGACACATGTTATAATGATTCAAGATAGAGTAGAAGCTTAATAAATTCAAGTTTTGTTTTGTTTTGTTTTTCCATATCCTTTTCTCTGCCCGTTTAGTAGAGGAGATAACCAACTCAGAGAGAGGCCAAGCAGCTTGCTCAGTATCCCAGGGCAGGCCAGCCATGGGGCTGGGACTGCAACCCAGGGATTTTTACCACTTGCTCTGAGTTCTTTTTCCCAGTGATGTAGCCTTTTGATCCCTGCCTCACCTGATTACTAGAGGTGTCAACTCTCAGTCAGTGAATCCTCCCTCAGACCTCAGTCAAGTCCATTAGACCTAACTTAGTTCTCAACCTAGTGTCTGAGCCCCATGGACATGACCTTCTTAGAGAATCAGATCCAGGAAAATCCTTAAGTAATAATGAAAATCTTGTCCTTTGCATGGCAAAAAATGATAATGAAAGCAAGCTG